GGCCGCCTTTCCCATCCATGAGAGTGCCTGAAGGGCGGCAGCTTGAACATAGCTGTCTTCAAAGGTCAAGCACCGTGCGACAGCTGCTGCAGTTCGCGCCGTCGGAGAGCGGGAGGCCGACTTCAGCTTCTCGACGGTCTCTTCGGGATCCTTCGGCCAGCTGTTGAAGACGGTGAGGTGATTCTGGCAGCTTTCCAAGGGAAGGCGGGACAGGAGCTCGTGGCTCTTGATCTCCCGCGAGCCGCCCTCGCAAGCAATGATCAGATTCTGCACGCAGGTCGGGATCTTCAGGACCCGCTCGATGGCCCCGTGAAGTTGGTCCACACGCCCCGACGCCAAGGCTGCAATGGTGCAGCTCGCACCCGACGCCGTGCTCACGGTGATGGTGATTCGACCCGGTAAGCTGGAGGTCGCCATGGTGGGGTGCGCGAGCTTTAGGGGTTTGGGTTTAGGGTTTAGGGTTTATAGGGTTCTAAACGGTTTTTTGGGGGTTTGAGGGTTTGCTTTGCGGCTTCGGGCCTACGTCTGATTTTGGGTATAAAGCTTGGGGGTGGTTCACGCTTCAAGTGACAATACACATGGGTTTAAGGCTTCGGGTTTGGGTTTGGGTGAAGGGTTTGAGCGTTGGGTAGTCGGACATGCTTGGCCTCATCACGGCTATCACCTATACTCTATCAAACCCTATAAAGCAGCAACAACATTATTCGGATGATTGCGATGTTGATTATGCTTATTGCTGCTATTATTTGTCGTTGTATGTTTATTCTTATTATTACCTGTATATTTGTTATTCTTATTCTTACTCTTATGCTTGTTGTCATTAGTATTGCTACTATTGTTCTTACAATGAAAAACATGATTGTTGTTATGGTTTTATTACTAGTAATAATATTCTTGTTATTATCATTATTACAGTGATTAGCCGTAGTAGTAGTAGTAGTAGTAGTAGTAGTAGTAGTAGTACATTTGTAACTGTTATTTTTGTGGGGCGAAGGGGAGTTCGGGCTCGGGTGCCCTCACAAACAAGCGGTGTGGGCTCGAGCTTCGAAGCCGGCATTTTCACGGTGTAGGGTTTCGGGTTTGGTTTGCTTGCAGGCCATGTTCCAGCTGCAGGTTAGTAGCTAAGGTTTAAGGTTTAGAGGTTTAGGTTTTGTTCTTCACGGAATGATGAAGTTAAGTCGCCCGTGAAAGATTCAACTCAGCCGCTCAACGCTCTCATTAGGCTCGTGGCTCCTACACCTTGGTCCAGGTAAACTAAACAAGAAATGCAACCAACCATCGGTCAACAGGCAAAGGGACTGTTTTTTCGTTCGAGATCTACGGCCTCCGGTCCGATGTAGGAGTGGGCGCGCTCGCCATCGCGCATGATCCTTTTTTCGGGATCCGGACTCAAAGCTTGGACGCCGGTGCTCTGGCTAATTTAGGACTTAAAGGTTCAAAACACCTGACATCGGAAATGATTATCCATAGCCAGCCGGCACTTAAATTGCCATCGCGTCTTAGCCGGCACCCTGCCTGTTCGAACATGGTCCACATCGACGCAATTATAACAGACGAGCAGCTTTCAGACAGAGTCCCGAGCGGCTTAACGACTTGCTCCCATCGCGTCTCCGATACATATATATATATATATAAACACACACAAATCGGAAAGGCTTCACTAAAAAAACATAACGCCAAATTGCTGTGCACACGGGGAACCCCATGCAAGGCACCGCACACGAGATCCGATACATCTGACTGGACTTCACCCATGCCAACCTGGAGAATGATGATGTGGTGATGATGATGGTGTACATGCGTTGGTGGCAGTCGGTGTAGTATCAGCAGCAGTAGAAGTAGGCATGGCATCTGCGTATGTCAAACGAAGTGCAGCACCACACAAAGCGATGCATCATCCAAAGAGAAGTGGCGCACTCCCTCATCGGTATCTACCCAGACAAGTGCCAAGAGGCCTCCTGCCAAAGGCAAAGCAAAACGGTAGGAACCCGGTAACCCGGCACACCTGAGAAGTTAGTTACCTTTTGGAGACTTTTGCAGTACGGAGCATGTCTACTTGTCTGATTGTCCTGTCTGCACTTCCGTCGCTCACCAAATGTTATTGGTGTCTTCTACACTTAGGGCGTGATGAGCGGTAACAGCAAGCCGAAACAGCAGAACCCACATCGCAACCATTTGCAGCCATTCCACGAATGGTCGTTCTGTGTGCTGCGATCCTAGACTGAGCCCGCACAACTCCTAAATATGGGGGCCTCTATAATTTCAATAGGGTTTTAGGGGTTCCTCTATAGTTATACTATAAGATGCACCAAAACCCTATTCAATTTTAATTTAGGCCCCTATACTAACCCAGCAACAGCCCAATAAGAAAGTGCCAAAGGCTCATCCCGAGGCCCTGAACACTCTCTTCCACCAGGCTGGTAGAATCCTGCAGCCGACTGGGGCTTCTGTATTTAACGGCTCCGAGTGAAGGTGTGCGGTGGTAGTACAAGAAATGGTGACAGTAGCACTAGCAGCCGTAGTAGTAGTAGTAGTAGTAGTAGAAGAAGAAGAAGCAATAGTAGTAGCAGTAGTAGTCGCAATAAAAATAATAATCAGAACCATATATAATGCTTATTAATGCTTTCGAAGATGCAGGCGTTTGATATCAATGGCAGTCTGCTAGAATTGATTCTCAAAATCCAGCCAACCTGCAGCCAATAACTCCTAAGTTAACAACTATGGATCTCTCTGCGGAAAGAACTGTACCTGACTCTTGTTGAAGGGTGCTTGTAGTCCTGTTGTTTAGTGCTCTTTATCAGAGCCTTTCGTAGACTCCCAGCCAACCACCATTGAGTCGCCAGATCGCGAACCCTCCTCAACTCCGCAACCCAAAACCCAACTCCTGAGAGTCCAAAAGCAAAAAATGAGAAATAGTGATAGGAATAAAAATAGCAATAGTAATAGAAATAGTGGAAGTAACCAGTTGAAGAAGAAGGGCCCCACCCCTGCCTGCGACAGCTCCAAGTCGCTTACTAGGCTCCCCGGTTCGGCTTTGTCTGGCGGGACTCATGGAGGGTTTAGGGTTTACGCTCTCACAACTTGGACAAGCCAGGCGAGGATCCATGTTTTTTTTTGACAATCACACTCGGACAAGCCTGGCAAGGTCCACCACGATACTGTCTTCAGAGAATCGGGTTTAGGGTTTGCGGGATATGGGTTCTTGAGGCTCTGGGGTCGGGCATGGGGGTTGTGGGCTTACATAAACCCCCATACGCAATGTCGAGTTCGCAGCAAGGAGCCAAGGTGACACGCTGCTTGCAGGAGGACTTATCGGGTCTGAGATTTCTCTAGCAGAAACTGAAGAGGAAGGCAGCACTACGCATGCTGCTTTGCGCCACGCTTGCCGAGAGTACGAAACTCTTCACTTCTTGGCCATGCAGGGGATTCCACCCGGACTGCAGAAACGACTTCGATGCTGTCGGTGCCATCATGGGGATCAACACATGTAGCTAGTCGCATCGATATGCCTTGCCAACTGCACGGTTAGAGTGTAACGCAAGACACTGTAGCCCTCATATGGTAAGTAGACTGTAGTATACTCTCAAAACATATTCCAAAGATGCAGGTCCCGAATTTTATTACTCTCCCCTGTTGCCCACCTGCCTGACAAGCGCTTGTGCACTTCAACGCGGCGCACACCAAAGGCCAAGCCTGCACAAAAGGAATATCTGGGAAGTGATGATACACCGCTGATTACAGTATTTGTCGCTCTGTAACTGTATGCACTGGTATGTTTGAGTGTCTCTCTGTCTGGCGGCCAGCCTGCCGTCTGGTCCCTCTGCCTGTCTGTATGAATTCATGTATCCGTTTACATATACGTGCTTGCACTCTTCGTTTTCATGTCGTGCGCTATTTCATGCCAGTTGACAAGCCCCCTTTCAACGCAACTCTTGTGGAAGGAATGAAGTTGTCTGCACGACTCGTCGCCAAAGTATAAGGAGCTAGGCACCCAAAATCACTTATATAAGCATGCCAGCAGCCGAGAAGGGAAGCAGGCACAGAGAACACCTGGCGATTTCGGATCCGGTGGCACCTGAAGAGTCTCCACTCTCCAGCGCTTTGTTGAACTGCGCCCCTCCTCTCACCCCAGAGCCCCACAATAGCCAAATCAATCCCAAGTAAACCCTAAACCCTAAACCCTAAACCAAGTATTCAAACACTGGCTCGGGGCCGCGCATAGGAAGAGTGTGCAGCCCAGGGCAGCTGCCCCGCAACCTGGGAAGGCGCTTGAAATCTGCAGACCTTCGGACTTCGCTTGAACCCGAATGGGAGCTTCCGAAAACAAGGGGTACCTTATTTTGGGGTCCTTTGAATAAGGATCCTATTATTTAAAGTGCTATATTAGGGTCCCCTATATTCGGAAACCCCAAATCAAGGTGCATCAAACAACGCTACACGTTGCATACCCCTACATTAGAAAGCCGGCTGCCTTCAAGACCTCATCGTGCAGCTACACGTGGCTGTTGCAGTTACAGTTCCAACATGGTCTTGTCCAACTCCAAAGATCCCAACCGGAACAAACCCAACAGCCTTGGGCCTCGTCCGGAAGCCTATAGCCCCGATCATGGGCTTGCTAGGGCTCGGGGAATCAGGTGCCCTTTGTCCTCTTTTACAAAGACTGGATGGTTCAGCTTGTAGGGTTTAGGGCTTTTTGTTGCAGGAGGGAATCAGTTTGTAGGGTTTAATTCGACTTCCGTGGCTGGACAGAAAAGGGACTATCTGAAGCGGGCTCACTCAAGCACTGTAGGTGTTGAGGGTCACTGATGTTGTGCCGGCCTTGATTCTATCGTGAAGTCTTTAACGCAGCGGTTACAGCAGGGAAATGCCATGCAGTTCTGCCACGTAGTAACGTAGTAACAGCAACAATAAGAATAAGAATAAGAATAAGAATAAGAATAATAATAAGAAGAAGGGCCTAGGCATTCGTGGTAATTCGGCGTTCGACTCTCATGTCTCGGACCGGCCATGCGACGAGCGCCGAAATCGCCAGGATCTTAGGCATGAGAACACCGGGAAAAGCAGGTTGTTGCAAGAAGCCAGCCGATCCAAAACGATGGGATTGCACATATACCAGCTTCCGAGCTTCCGATGCACGAGAACAAAAATCCTGCGTCTTGCCTTAGACAGCCAATGCCCGATCCTGACTGATTCTCATTGCAACCCAGGGAACCTAGAAACGGCGCCACCGGAGCCACCGCAAACAGCATGGCTCCAGCATAACTGCCCAGCATGCCTCTTGGGGGCTTGCTCGACGATAGTTGAAGGGATTAGGGCTTCGTGTGTCGGGTAGAGGGACTTCAATCAAGGGTGTAGGGTAATATCTAAATATTCTCTGTGTGCATGTAAGCATGTATGTATATGTATATGTAACATGT